AAGATGTGGAAAAGACATATAAAAACTCTTAGTCACAACCCAAAAATGGACAGGTTTTTCAACTTTGGTCAATTCAAGCTTGAGTTGATGGTGTTAGCACGGGGAAATACATGTTTGATCGAATTAAGAGCTTAGACCAAACATAGGTCAGGCTATCAATGTAATCGATCAAATTAGACGGTTTGGTTTGACTTTAATAACATTGAGTGTTATGGATAGAAATTCCTGATTTTCGGTTCTTTTTGATTTTTTCTCACACTTATTGATTTTTCTATGAGTAATGGAATCTATCCACCCCATTCCGGTGTGGTTTAGAGTGAAAGTATGAAAGAAATAGAGATACAAGAAAAATTAGAGAGAAAAAATAATAGAAATGAAAAGTGATGTGATGAGAGAAAAAAAAAGAGAGATAAGAAGAAAGTTATGGTGGAAGTTAGATGAAAGAGAAAGTGGAGGTATGATTAGTTTTTTCTTTATCACTCTTTTTGGTTTCTTTATGTTCTTGTTTATGTTCTACTTAAAATTGCAATACTCAACCTTAATTTTTGAGTGTCAAACGAGCATTCTTTTATAGATGAATCTCTCCAAGCTCAACCCTATAACAAAAGTTATATCTGGGTAAAGTTTTACAAGTTTTATTTCATCTTACAAATAAGACGTGATACAATTAATTAAGTACAAATGTATTTACATAAAGAATGAATAAATTTTGGTACAAGATGTTTTCTTTTTTCGTAGTTAGTCCATCATTCTTCATTTTTGTTTTTGAAGTTCTTTATATAGTAGTTGTAGACATATTTCATTTGGGCCACCCCGCTAAGGACGAAAAGACACTAGGACTTGAAGAGCAACCCTTCAACTAGGACTTGAAGAGCAACCCTTCAAGGCCAAATAAAACATTGAAACGATCCAAGGCAGCACCAAGAGGCCTAGAAGGCTTGAAGCTAGTGATTAAGGCGTGGAACGACTGTTCCCACACTTGGAATGGCTATTCCCAAATTCAAAATTTACATAGCAAACCCTAGTTAGAAATGGCCCTACCCAAACTTGGAACTATCGTTCCTAATAGAAAAATTGCACTATAACCCCAATTGGGAGCAGTCTATTCACAAAGCCCAATTTAGTGTAATTTTGAGGGCCAAAACGACCATTCCAAGCATGGGAACAACAATTCCCAGCCTCTGGGAGCCTACGTAAGCGTGCCCAGGGCTCAGTCTTCCACACTTCACACACGGTTGAGAAGTTCCTGTGTAAACATTTCCTTCTATTTCTCTATACTTTCTTGAGTGTTTGTGAGGTCATTTTAGAGCAAAAGGCTGCCAAAATGCACCTTTGTACCATGACATTTGAAGATCTCTTTATAAAGCTTACTTGGGAGGATTTTATCTATTCTTTCTCTATCTCTTCTCTCTTTCACTATTTAATTGTTTCATTTATAACCCTATTGGCATGTGATAAATTAGTAACAATGTAGATAATAAGCACTCAATTGACCAATAAAAAAGGGGTAAATATTTAATCATTATTCATTATTATGTTAAATTCATCATAAGGGTACCGAGTTAAGGCATTGTGGGGTGCCTAATACCTTCCCCAAGAGTAACCGACCCCGAACCTGATTCTGGCTATGAAGGTCGTAATCTATTTTTGAAACTCTTTCCTTTCTCTAATGTTTTGAGTAAAATATTAGAAGTGACTCCTTCAAACCTTTTTTCAAAAAAACTATTGGTGAAGAATTATCTAGTCCTCAAGTATTCCTAAACAGATGAAATTTTCAAAATAAAGTCTGAACCATATGTGGGAAAGATCAGGATTTTTTGGTTTTCGATAGTAACCTAGATGAAGATGATCGCTGCAACACCTTGAGGGCTCCTCACAAGCTTATTTCATCTGTCTTCCTTTTGAGTCCCTTGAGGTGAGAATTGTTTGTTGGAGCATTAAATACTTACTTGAATTGCATTTCACCAAATTGTCATTCTTATCTAAACAAGGAAGCTACTAATCAACTTTTTAAGAAACCAAATGGATGTTATGTGGCGTGTGTCAGCGAATAGTAGGTTCTACATCAACTTTTATTGACTTTCTCTACAATTTCAAGGATTCACCTGTCCTTGTTTCTTATGCACAACATAACTTCATTCACTTTAACATATTTATGAGTTCCAATGAGCTTCCTTTGTTTGATTTGTTAAGGAGCCGATTAGTCATGAACTAAATAGTCATCACTCATAATAAATGATACATATTTAAGACTTTATGGAATAAGATTGTATACTTTGTCTAATAACGCATCATTTGTCTAAAGGGTTACGTCTTATGCTTCGTTTGATGTGTATTTTGCAAAAATATTTTTCCTTTAGAAAATCATTCTATTTGTTATCATTAAAACTTGAAAACTTTGTAAGATTTAAGATCGTCTTTCGACTTAACACGTGATTTTGTTATAGGAAAAATGGGATTCCCAATGACACAAAGGAGATGGATAAAAGAATCTTTATTCATTGCCTTACTCTCAGTTTTGGTAAATGGATGTCCAACAAATGAGATGAGGATGGAGCATGGTTTTAGGCAAAGGGTTCCTCTATTACCATTTTATTTCTTTTGGTAGTACAAGGTATCAGCATAATGATGCACAAAGTGGTGGAAACAAAATATTTTTGTAGGGGCCCTATTCAAAAGGATGTAAAATCCAATTTCACATATGCAATTTGAAAATGATACTTTGACATCCAAGGTTAAAAGTTGGGCTAGTATTTGGGTGATTAAGGTAGTGTTCTAGTTTTTTAAATGGTAGTTGGGCTGAAAGTTAGCTATCATAAAATTAATGTCTTTTAGTGGAGTTTAATGTAGAAATTAGTTGTCTTTAAGAGGCAACATTGGTTCTAAATTATAGAGTTGGGAAATTGCCTATGAAATACTTAGGTTTGCCAATCAGTGCCAATCTAGGGAGTTTATCTACTTGGGACCAAGTGGTAAAAACTATTCAAAAATGTTTGTCATTCTAGTCTAGTAAACAACTAATTTTTGGAGGTTGTAGTGTTTTAATAAGATTTGTCTTATATTTTATATTGGTCTATTATCTATATTTCTTCAAGGATTCCATAGGTATCATTTATGAAATTAAATCTCTATTCAAAAATTTCTTATGGGGTTGAGGAGGCTAAAAGAAAGATTCATTTGATGGCATGAGATAAGATTTGTAAAGAACAAGAAGTTAGAGGGTTATGAGTAAAAAAATATGAGAGTTTTCAACATGGAATTATTACAAAAATAGAGGTGGTGTTTGTTGTTAGAAAAAGATAGCTTGTGCTATAAAGTGTTGCAAGGGGTTTACAATTGTAAAAATGAGGAAAGAAAAATGGGTCAGTATAGTGGCAAGATATACGAAGGCAATGCAAAAAAGATCATGGTAGAGGAATTTGGTTGAGAAAGTTTTAATAGAAATGAGTAAGACACTTTATTTTGGGAGGATCCATGGATGGGGATGGAGTGTTGGAAATAAATTTCCAAGGTTGTACTCCATGTCAAGCAAAAAAGAGGCAAAGTGGAGATTTTGGAAAATAGGTTGAAGGGTCATGGTTGTGGTCTTGGCCTCTTAGGATAGGAGGAATACATTGTTACAATGGGAGAAGGATATGATTCAACTTTTTAAAGGGGTGGTAGTAAAAGGAAAATTACAAGAAGAAAAGAGGATAATTAGAGATGGAAATTGGAAGGGGATGGTGTATATCAATACAATTGCATATAGGGTAATTTATGAAGAAAAAGAAACATCTTATGTAGAGAAGTAATGTAGCTTGTGGAAAAAATATTCACTATCAAAAGTAACAATTTTTATATGGAGGTTGTTACAAAATAGGATCCCAATTAAGGATAATTTGTGTAGGAAGGCAATTCTAAATTGCATAGGTTGTTACAAAAAGATTGTCTTAGGTGGAAACACATTTTCAATGAGAACATGACCTAGAAGGATACCTATTCCTTTGTTAGAAAGTCATAGTCCAAGGTTAAGTAGGGCAAGAAAACTTGGAACAAGAACATTCCTCTTTCAAAGACTTTTATCTTTTGAAGATTAATTCATAAAAGAATACCAATTGAGGATATGTTACGAAAGAGGGGGATCGTAATTACTTCAATTTGTTTAAACTATTACAATGCCCATGAAACTATGATGAAGATTTTCACAATCTCTCCACTTGGCAAGTGAACCAAGTTTCGATGTAGTAATTAAATATCGTCCTCAGGGATTTGAGTGTTTAGTAATTCTTGCTCTAATGATTTAAAAGAGAGTGATGTTAAAATTGCAGATGAGTGAAAACAGATTAGAACAACACAAAAAATAAACGTAGTAAAGACAATGATTAAGAAACAAGGATTGGTTCAGAAGTACTTGCTAACTCGTAGATCTTCTTAAAATAAATGCGATTCTAATTCCATTATTTCCACGTTCATTAAGTTATCCAACAAGATTCCTCAAGATTGAATCCTAAAGTCATTAAGCTCAAAACATGATTCCTCTATGTTTTAAGTTTAACACTTCGCATTAAGAACAATGACTTGAACAATGTGACTAACCAAATCAAGTCTATTCCTAGAACAAGAAGTGATTAGGTGCAAGATTCAGTTCGGGTTTTCGAAAACGTTTTTCAACTGGATTCAAAAACCAAAAATCATACAACGGGTGATCAAGCCGATATAAGCATTAAGAGAAGAATCAAGCACAAATAATGAGATCAAAATGCATACATTTAAGAAGAAGAGGGGTTAGTAGTTACATCCAACCAATCCTTAAAGGAGTTTAGCCACACATGGCCATTACAGGATCAAAGAGTGAAAAGAAGAAATTACAAAGCAAATGATGAAGAACTGGAGTGAATCTTCGTTCCCAAAGGATCCAGCTTCCAAATCTCTGTTTTCCCTTCGTTCCTCCTTCTTCTAAGCTTCTCCCCTGTTTTTCTCTGTATATCTTTGTCTCCCTCTATTTCTTCACTTTTCCCCTTTTATATGAGCTTTAAAATAGGGGCAAAGAGTGATTTTTCCTCCCACGGCTGCAGCTGTAGATCCACGGCGATGGCTGTGGAGAGTCCTTCAGGGTGAAGAAACCTCCAAAGCTGCAGCTGTGGTTTCACAGCTATAGCTATGACAACTCCTTCAATAGGAACCTCCAGCGCTGTAGCTGTGAAGCCACAGCTATGGCTGTGGATCTCTAGAGTTTTTTCTGGGTCCTGGGTGCTCCATGGCTTTAGCTTTGAGTTCACAGCTTTAGCTTCAACTCTCTGGAGCTTCAAATTGTATTTCAGATTTCCACAGCTCGAGCTCCAGATCCACAGCTATAGCTTCAAGTCTTTGGAACCAAAAATGAGCATTCCAGATTTCCACAACTATAGCTGCAGAACCACAGCTATAGCTGCAAGTTTCTGACCTTCACAATTTCTCCCCAGATTTCCACAGCTCGAGCTCCAGATCCACAACTATGGCTGTGGATCTCTGCCTAGCCAAAAATCCTGCAAAAAATGAGGAAATTCCTTAAGATTGCTACTACTCATTTACTTTTATAGTATAACTTAATTCTTTAAATTAAAGGGGTGAAATAACATACATATTATCTACAATTACCCAAAAAGAGTGCCAAAAGTTGAGTGCAAATCATGCATAAAAGACACTCAACAAACTACATATCACTTTTTTTTCTACTGTCCATTTGCAGGCCAATAATGGAACTGGTTAGCTGTAATCATTGATTAATCTTTCATAGGTGTAGATATTATTTATATAGTATCAAATAAAACTTGAGTATTGATCTTGCTAGCATTGTATTGCTTGCTATTATTACCTATGGCTTGACAAAAATCTTGATAGCAGAAATCAAATCAAGTTTGAAAATACTTTTATGCCTTGCCAACATATTAAAAATATATTTTTTTTTTGCTATAAATAATTTTTGTTCTATTGCAACCAGGTAATGTGTGATCTACGATATGTGAATTCAAAATTTTAAAGCATTCTCTGTTTCTTGCAGGCCAAGGAAACTAGAGAAAGTCATACAAGTTGACTAAATTCTTCGTCCTTAGGGTTGGATTAAAGGAAATACTGATGCAACATATGTAAAGCATGGAAAACTTTATTATTCTACTACTATATTCATATATTATAATGCAGATTTGGTTGTATTCTTTACTAAATCTTTGAATGTTAATTCTTTTTGTGGTCATTCTTTGGCACCTTAGACTTTGAGAAATAGATGGCATAATAGTTTGAAGTTTACCAAGAAGATCAAATTTTGATTCTCTCACATATAAAGATAAGGAAATTCATGTTGATAGTATAACAAATTTTTGTATTAGAAATACTGGATACCATTGGTGGGATTATGTACCTATTTCTATGATACATAGTTTTAGTAGTGATAGGTGTGACTTTCCACACTATTGATTTTCTTATGTGGGTTTGGTGTGCCACCCCCTCCCCACTTTTCTTGTATTCTTTTATATTTTCTTAATAATACTTTAGAAATATTGCAAATGATTGATATAGGTTGTGGTGCTAACCTAGTTAGAATCATTTTCTATATAGTGATGCAATAACATTTCTATCTTTTAATTAAAAAAAAGGATGTGGTGGGGAGTTGGAATCTACGATTCACTTGTTCTTTGAGTGCAAATGTTTTGTTTGATTGTAGAGGGATGTTTGAGATAACTTGATATATATATCCATTATTACATTATGACATATCATTAAACTTTCTACAATTTTAAGGTTTATTTGACATGAGATACAATCAATTTCACAAAGGGTGCGTCATATGGTTCACTGTCATATGAGTCATTTAAAAGGAACAAAACGATAGGATTTTTAAAAGAAAGGAAACTCAATTGTATGATATGTTGGAGACAACTAAGACTTCTGCCTAGTAATGGTTTAAATCTAGGAAGAAGAGGCTTTGTTATTCATTACAAAATTAGTTGAGTAATCCACTTCACTGTTTCAAAAGGAATGGTTAATATTAATTTGTTTCTTAGTTGTGGATCAAAGTTAGATTGGAGGCTTGTTGGCTTGGATGGGTGACTTAGGGGTCTATGAGTGAGTGGCTCGGACAAAGCAACGCGGTGGGACAAATGAAATATACTATAGTTATTGGTTATGTAAGTGATTTAAGTAGGCAACAAGTAATACGTGTATAACAAATTAATCTAGTTTAGGTTCAAGAATTTGCAGGATAAGGTATAATGTATAGATGGAGGAAAATTGATTTTTTTGTTATGCCAAATTATTCAAATCTTGGATTAACTAAATGCAACAAAAAGTTAAATAGAATTGTGAATTCCAATTTTGTATATTGTTCTTGCAGGAAGTTTGGAGTGACATGGAAGTAAAAGGTGTAATGACCAAAATTGCGACAAAAACAAGTTTGTCACAAAAAGCCTAGTTGCTTCGCCATTTTAGCAACCAAAATGGATTCAATCATTGTGTAGTGACTGAAAAGGTTTGGTAGCTAACAAAAATAGGTTCGTCTTTGCCAAATCTAACCACCTTTCTTATTGAGACAAAAACGGCGACTACATTTTTTTTTTCACTAAGTCAGTCGCTATTTAATTTAATTTTAAAAATTTTGAATTAAGTGCAATATGTGTTGCTGCTAGCGAAAGGAAATTTTTTTTTTACCACTATTTTGAATTTTTCTTGTATTTATTTTTAGTTTTTGGTATGATATTTTCATCTAATTTTGATCACAGAAACATGTATGCAAGTTATATTTTTCATGTGCTAGATTTGATAAGGTTGTTGATGCTGAAACATTGCTACGTAATTTTCTTGTTTGGAAACGATGATGCATTTGGTGGCTGAAGCAACAATTTAATGGCTTAAATGTTTCATAATTCATAAATTGGTATTATTTTATTATTTTTGGGAGGGATAATACATTGAATTGGACAAATTTATGTGATTCTCGCTTTAGATCATAATTTTAATATATGCATTTGTTGCCTTCGATATGTTTAATTTGATACAACTTGCATTGTGCTCAAACTATATTGTTGTTGAATAAAATTATTTGGCCTTTAAAAAAACTAACAAAAACAGATTGTACAAAATCACAAATCAATTAAACAAAGAAAAATTATATTCATCTTGGTTGCACAAATTAAAAATAGTGTTTTTCTTGGAAAAATACACAACACATGTTGTTATATACCTTATATTGGCTTCAAAATGTAGAGGATGTGAACTATTTGCTACTACTTAAGGCATATATGAATGTTTGGTACATGAAAAGTCTTAATTTTTTTTTAGAAGTTGAAGTTAAGAGTTTTAGTTTCTCGTGTTTAGTTTTTTATTTAAAAAAAACAATAGTATTAGGAAACAATATTTTTTATGAATTTTTTTATATAGGTTTTTTGTGAAATTATTCACACGAGGAAAGTGAGCCTTAGTTTCCCAAGTTAAAAGAAAAGTTATTAATTTACCTTAATTTGATTATTTCATGCAAATCTTTGATTCTCAAGAAACAGTTATAAATATTTTCAAAAAAATATTTCTTATTTATGGTCAACCTAACACATTTTAATCATTAATAGAAATAATGGTTTTGAGAATTTATAATTCTCATGAATCATGAATCTCGGGCATGAAAAAATTTTCTGTATACCAAACACCTCCATATATCACAGGCGCCATCTGTTGTTTACAAAAAAAAAATAAAAGAAATTATTATTTTAACATTTTTGAATAATTTAAAATATGAAACCAAAATGATTTAACATTACAAAAGCAAGCCAGCATATACAAAATTTTCGCTACTGTTCTTTTTAATTTAATAAGACTGCAAGAATACAGAAAAATAGCTGCGAAAAATAAACGCTAGCTAATAGCTGACACAAATATTGTCAAAAAAGCCGAGCTATTTTAAGATATAGTGTCGGCTTTGTCCACACTAACTTAATTTAAGTTTAGTGTAGACAAAGCTGACACTATATTTAAAGAATAGCGTCAACTTTTCTAACACTAAATTCAATTTAAATTTAGCGTCAGAAAAGCTGACACTATTTCTAAAGAATAATGTTGATTTTTTTGACACTATATGTGCTTTGAGAGAGATAAAGATGATTTTTTGAATCTTACATATGCATAATGTATGATGGTGCAGTTGGTTATCAAGTTCCCTTAACACGTTAAGGTTCTAGGATCGAGTCTCGGTAATGCTAAAATTACAAACGAATAAATGATAAATTAGAAAAAGAAGATGAAGAAAAAAAAAATAAAATAAATTTTGTGTCAACGTAGTGTCGGCTTAATCGACAATAAAAAATTAAAATAAATAAAATTGTTACTGACAGCTTAGCCAACACAAAAAAAAATTTTGTCAACTTATTTAGCATTAGTCAAAAGCCAACGAATAACTGACAATATTATGTCAGTTTGTATTATTTAGAGTCGACTTTTAGTCGACTCTAAAATGAAACATTTTTGTAGTATAATGATACATCAATACTATAAAAACTTTATATTACAGTCTATTAAAATGTTTTCATGCAAAATAAATTCATTAACTTTTATAATAATTATTTTAAAAGAAATCATATTAAAAATTGATTCCAATTGGTCAATAGTATTTATTTATATATATATATATATATATATATACTAATTCAATATAATTTCAAATTATACGATACTGACAAGTATCAAAAATATATACCCATTGTTCAATATTATTTTTTTTTATATATATATATATATATATATATATATATATATATTAACCAGACACATACACTACAATTAAATTATGAGTGAATTACTTTGACACTTATGAGATTATGTAAACTTTCTCTCACATAAAAAGTGTATTTGTCAAGGTATTTCAAGAGTTTATAAATTTCTTTAACTAGTTTATAAGTTATTTCATCAAAATAAACTTATTTGGTATGATAGTTTATTATGAGATTATAGTTTATTTTCATACACTAATATTAAAGTAGCTTATAAGCTCTTAGTTTTCATTTTCTTTTTTCTCATTAATATACTTAAAATTCTTTTTATGCTTTATAATTTAGAAACTATTTTGTCTATCTTATCATTCTCACACTCTCATTATGAAAATCATTTTTTCATTTTACATTTATCAATTAGCTTAATTAACTTATGAGTTAATTTTATCAAACACTTTAAACTTAATCAACTAGTTTTAACACTTAGTTTATTACTTATAAGTTTATTTCAGCTATCTTATAAAATAACTACCAAACATATTCGAAATCACAATATAATACTTTTCATATAATTAATAGAGATTATTGTATTGATGGATGTTAATAGATTTTTTTTAATTATTAAAGAGAACTATTGTAAGAATAAAAAAAAAGTAAGAAATATTTTGTAAAATCTCAAAAACGTTGGAGTATTTATATAATTTACTCTTAAACTATATTTCCCATTAAGCGTATTCAAGTAAAGGAACGTAGAACAGTGTGTTATGCTATACTGTGACCACATGTGAACTTCAAGTATAGTGTACCTGAACTTGATCTGGTAAGAGCTTCTTCCAAGTTCCAATCTCATCCTCATTGTGAAGCTTTCTAATTCCTCCATAGTATCCTCCTGTTTGATGACCTTGTTCCCCATAGTTCTTCCTAGATAACCTTATTCGTCTCATGTTTGAGGTTTCACGGTATTGCCTGAACTCCACGATCAATGTATCTATCACAGAAAAAAAATTATCGATTCAATTTAGGCATTTCCTGAAATCAGAGAAAAGTAAACTTTTAGTTACCGATAACATTCATAGAAATTAACATAATATCACATGGACGTGTATTGTACATGTTTAGTCTATTTCTATAATGGAATAGACTAAAATTTACTAAGTTTTTGCAAAGCATTTAAAAAGTAAATTAAAATTTTTTTTTACTTAGCATACCATTTTTTTTTTTATCACAAGTCGTTTACTTATTATTTTTTGATTGTAAAAATGTCATTCTAACATTTTTTATATTTTTTTTACCAAAACTAAAATAGTACTATATTACTAGATCTAATGTGATGAGAAAATCGGATCTATAATTTATAAAATTAATATAGTTTTGTCTCAATCATATTATTCAAATTTTTGGCCTCTTCCTCCGAAATTTATAGGCGTCTGTTAATATACTGAAGACTAAAAATAACAAAGTGAGATTATTGTGAATGTCTTCAAAAAGTTCATTATTATCATAACATTTTTTTTTCCATCCTCATTAATAATATCAAGGAAAATTTACCTTAGAGAAAACAAGGAATTAAAGATTTCTCACCACTAAGATGACACTGACAATAATTCTCATTCTCATTACATGAGTCTAAGTGGTCAATAACAGCATACCACCAATCTGCAATACAACTAATAACAAGTTATAACTGTATGACATGATATCAAAAATAATAGATCATGTCACGACTCTTTACATGAGTAATAACTTTTCTTTTTCTCTACTGAAAATGTAAAAAAAGAAAACATAAAGTCATTCAATATCAGAGATTAAAAATTAGCGTATAATGTCAAAAACAAATAATAGTTAACTGTCAGAATCAGAAATATCCACCTCTATTATATAACTTACCATAAGGCCATTGTTTATCTCCTCTCCACTGAATCTCAATATGATCCTCGGGTTTTAAGTCGTCTAAACAATCAGAGACGTACATCACATAAGGGGGCAAATCAACTGCAGGAACCCTCACCATATCCCACTCAATATTCTTCCCTAGACATCCCCAACCTCCACTTTGATACCTAACATTAATCATTCACTTAATCACAAAAATGGCTTCATACTCAATAAGCTCAGCAAACCAAGTCATTCACATTACTTGAAAAAGAAAAAAAAAAAATTCTCAGCGTATTGTCAGGAAAAAAAAAACTGTTTTATATACTCAAGTAAAAAAGTCACCGTTAGGTATAACAATATCCAAATCTAGATTATTTCATAGTTATAGACGTAAATAGATAAACTTGTCAATAAATACTTAATCATTTTAATTTTTATAAAGTCTCTTTCATCTATCATTAATGGAATAATTTGATATTCATTTTGCCTTTTATTTTCTTCTCTTATAAATGCTTACTGACAGGTTTATAAAATAAAACCATAATAAATAAAGATTATCATATATATTTTGTTACTTATTTTACGGATACTTTTTAAGACTTTTGATTATTATAAGAAAATTAATAAGAATTTGATTTATATATACTTTGGATATAAGACTGTTTTTTTACTATATCTGGTTGTAAGAACTTACTTGTCTGTCACATCGTATTAATGTGAAAGATGACATGATAAAAATTATCAAATATAGTTAAAATTTATGTAAAATATTTACGCAACTGTGCATATCAATGAAAAATTCCACATTTTACATAGATCAAAATTTGGGTATTTTGAAAAGGTCAACATTTTGCATACCTTGCTTGAAAAGTATCAGATTGAGACTCATAGCTAACCAAGGCATTGTGAATCATCAGCTCCTGCAAAGAAAGAATTGATGATAATAAAAAGATACATGACATTAATAAAATGACTCACTAACAAATTAAAAAGCCAGTTGCAAGTTTTACCTTGTAGACCTGAGCAGGAAACCAGAAGATGCCACTCTCAAGAGAGAAATACAAAGACATGAAGAAGTTGTTTGACCGTTGACCATTAAGAGCCTTGTGATCTTCCAAGTATGAACCAAGATATAGATTAGGCCAAACACCACTAAAAGAACCCAGTGACCGAATTTGATTATTGGTTCGTTGATTCAATAAATTTCCTTGTTTGGCAATTGTTATATGCCATTCCCACTCCTTATAAACAGCTTCACCAATCACTCTACCCCATTTCTCTTTTATATGGTTTTTCCAAAAGTCATCACTTTGACACCTACCCTTTAAAGAGACACACACCTTTGACATTGTACAAAGATCTATTGGAGAAAGGAGCTTCAGAATGAAATCCAAGGTTGATTCAGGCAAATCCAAGAGAGACATAGGTCTATTATTGTTAATATTGTTCTCCATGTCTGTTTTGGATAAAAAGAGAAGATGAATCAATCTAACCCTAACTAAGGTAGCATAGATGACCAACTTTGATATGATATCAAGCAAAGAATTGTGTGTATTGCCAATGATATGTTATCACTATTTATTTGTTTTTCACATTCTTAGCCGGCTATGTCTCACTGGCTAGTAAGTGAAACAAAAGAGGCGACAAATACCAGGTCTAATATTTGGAAATTTCTATGTACCCGTGAATGTTTAAAAATAGGCTAATAAATTGCATCTTTATTTCTTTTATTTTTGTGGATTTATAATTTTTTTCTTTATTTTAAAATAGAGATATTTAATTTTTTATATTTAAAATATGAAATTTTTGTCTTATAATATTTATTGATCGTTAAATATTAACATTTTAATGATATATCATTACTTAAATGATATGAAATAATAATGTGATTTATAGAGATAAAAGTTTTAAAAATCACATAAAAAACTTTTTTGTATATATTTTTACAAAAATTAATTAATTTTTATTTTATTAATAAATCTAGTTTACATATTCTTTTTATCTTTATATATTATATTATTAAATGTGACATCATTGAAATATGAGTAAATATTAAAATTTAACGATTAATATATGTTAATTTGATGAGAGGATTAAAATCTTGTATTTTTAAAATTAAAGAAACTAAATATTTCTATTTTAAAATAAAGAAACAAAAATTGTAATTTAAAAATAATAGAAAACTAAAAGTATAATTTAATATTAAAAATATTTGTAAATGAGGAATGCTAATGACTATTTTCTCTAACACTCTATAAGAAATTTGTGCTCTCTCCTAATTTAGTAGTCAAACTTCCAAAAAAATAATTATAATTATAATCAATAATATAAAAACTATCAAGAAGTAAAAAATTGGTGCTCTCTCTTAATTTAGTAGTAAAATTCACACAAAAAAATTTGTAATTATCAACCAATAATATAAAAAGTATCAAGAAGAGAATGTGGCTAAATTACTTATCAAAACTTGATGTACATAGTTAGAAGAAGATAATTTTGTTTATTAAACTTTTTTTAACGCAAATGTCTATTTAGAATAATTTAATTTTTTAAATAATAAATAAGTAAAAGGTCGTATCAATAGAGATGTATGATTGATTGAGAATGTCAATTAAGTGATGACTATTAAAATTTAATTTTAAACTTTGTTAAAAAGACCTACGTGACAAAACCTCCTTATGTTATTAAGCACAGCAACTAAATATATATATATATATATATATATATATATATATGTGTGTGTATCTCTTAGATCATATATGTCAAATTTTGTTAAAATTGAACAACAACTTGAAGGTAATCAAAGTGTTCATATTTTAGTATATTTTGAAATGTATATATTACGTCAATTTTGTTTTATGAGAATGAAGTATCAAATCTTCTTAGATTAATATAAAATTTGATATATATGATCTAAGAGATATGAATGTTCCATCTAACGGTTGGATTTACAAAATTCACATTTAATATAAAGTTATTGAGCGGTGTAACACTTAGTTAAAGTTACACCAGTGTCGTTTGAACCCTCATCATATATATATATATATAAACACATAAATAATATAACTTTAATAAATATAAAAATTACAAATTAATCATTCTAATAATTAAATAGTTTAAATTATAACAATAATCAAATAACAAATTTAAAATTATACGTTTAATTAAAAATATAGTTTAATTCTTAACATATAAGAAAATTAAAATTCTAAAAAAACATATGTTACATCCATAGGAGTTGATGCAAACTAAACAAAACTCGCAAGAAATGACAATCGAAATGAATTTTTAAAATATAAATTTGTCTCTTTAAAATTTAAACATTAACTTGCTCTACATTTTACAAGGATAGAGAGAGAAATCCGCACCACTTGTATGTTGCCATCACTATTATTAGAACACCTGTAACGGGGTTGCTTATAAGTAATCCTCTGTATTACATTACTGCTATATCAGCTCTGACCCACTTTATGGGTTACTTAAATTTTAGCAGAGTTGCTTTAATTATTTTCGTAAAAAATATTCCTGCAGAATTTTTTGTAAAAAAATTTGCAGAAAACTTTCCTGCAAATTTTCTTGCAATTTTTTTTTACAGGAAACTTTCCTATAAATTTTTTTTGTAAGAAATTTCGCAGGAAAATTTCCTGCGAATTTTAAAATTTACAAAAATATATTATTCACGAAAGTATTATCTGCAGATAAAATTTCACAAAAAGAAATTATAGAAATAATGTTTCCAGCAAATTTTTCATAAAAATTCACAGAAAAAATTGTATATAATAAGAGAAATTCTAGTAATGTACACGTGATCATTAAATTTGAGGAAGAAAAATAATCTTTCATTGTCGATGAATTTGTTGAATTACATTTATTACAGACGTCGTGCCGGTTTGGTTAAACTTTGAATTGACCACCGTTTGTTTAAATTGAAAAAAGAAACACTTAATAATGTTTATATATTGAAGATATATTTAGGAGTAATTTTATTATTTTGTTTAATAATTTATATTTTATATTAAATTTTAATAATCTAATCATTAAATTAAAAAATTTAATGTATAGATTAAATCTTTAAATTTTTTAAAAAAATTAAAATTATTTAATACTTTATTTTATTAATTCAAACTGACAGATAATTATAAAATTATTTTATATGCATTAATTTGAATTAATGAAACGAAGTATAAAATAATTTTTAAATTTTTTTAAAATTTGTAAACTTTTTCTATACATTAAGAATTTTAAATTCAATGATTAGATTATTGATATTTGATGTAAAACATGAGTTATTAAACAGAATAAATTTAGATAACTTACTCTTAGAGGAAACATATCCTTTTTTTATAATGACAACTTTATTTGTATAAAATTTATCCATTTTATATATATTCTAACAAAGTACCAAAAAAATATTCACCAAAATAGTAAATATAAGGAAATAGAAACAAATCATAAAATTTATGAAGTGAAATATCACTTAACAAATTTGACGATCACATATTAATATCTACTTTTTTATTTTATAATATATTTATTAGTTTAATGTATATATTGGGTAAATATTTTTTTTTACTTTGCTTGAATGCATATAGGAATGGACAATTTTTATGAAACTAAAGGTGTTATTAAATATATGACACGAGAGATACACTTGCTCTAAAAGTAAGTCTATTTAAACTTATTTCACTTAATAATTCATGTTCTACATTAAATTTTAAAGGTTTAACCGTTAAATTAATATTTCTTAATGCATATATCAAGTCTACAAACTTTTAAAGAAATTTGAAAACTATTCGGTGCTCCATTTTATTAATTCAAATTGACAGATAATCATAAAAATATTTTATACAATGATTTAAATTAATTAAAAAGGATACCAAATAGTTTTCAATTTTTTTTTAAAAATAATTGCATATTTGATCTATATATTAAAACTTTTAATTCAACGGTTAAATTATTTAAATTTAATATAGAACATAATTTTTTAAGTGGATTATGTAACAACCTAAGTTTTCTAAAATTATTAAAAGGACACTTTAATTGATTAAATGAGTTTCAAAAATTATTTTAAAGACTTTTAATAATTATGAGTATTTTTATTAATAAGAAAATATGAAATTATTTTGTTATAGAAAGTATTTGGAGAAAATATGTGCTTCAATTATTTATGTAATTAATGTATTTTAGAAAATATGTGTTTATATTATAATTGTTTAATGTATTTTATTTTATTTATATATAAATGGGTTGAAAGAAAGTTTTTTATTTTATAAATTATTTATTTATAATTTTTAATATTTTTAAGAAAGAAAGGTGTAACCATGGTTTAATTATGTTGTTGGAGGATTAAACATGGGTTTGGAGTTTTATGAAGGAGTTACATTAGTTTTATTTTCATGTTTCTCACTTTTCTCTCTCGTGTTTCAAACTCTAAAGAAATGGGAGAACTAGAGATCATTTAAGATCATCTTAGAGATTTACGCCCTGTTCATCGAGGTAAATAGGGGCCGAGTAGTCTCACTCTGAATGTAAGATAATTATTAGATAGTGAGATTGACCCCTAATTTCTTATCTATTCTTGTATGTTGTGAGGGGAGATTCCTAATTATGTCTTGTAATTTATGAATTTGTGTTATGTAATCTTTTTATATACATGATATGTGATGTTTGAATTATATGTACAATTAATTTTGTTGTAATTTGAATTATTTGAGAATTTATAAATGCATGTAGTTCTTGAAAGAAGTCCTTAATTTATAGAGCAAAGTGAAGATTAATGTTAATTGCATGAATATGTGAAATTGAGGTTAGATTTGAGTAATTGATGGTATAATAAAGTAGTGTTAAGCTTTAATCATAATTTTTACCAATTAGGTTGGAGTTTGGGGGTTCTAGGTTTGTATTGTGCGATTTCCGCACAATCTGTATGTTCCTCACAAATTGGTATCGCATCGGGAGTCAACTGGGTAACGTCGAGTGCCTTTTGATGTTGTTCCTCTGAGGTTTCACACCGAGTGTAACATCAGTTAAGCGTGAAAAATGTAGCAGTGAGCGCGATAACTTCATAATCACATTATGTAGTCTTCACATGAATCATAGTCTTGGATATTAGCTTTTCAATTCCGTTAAAAACACTCAAAAAGGAGTTGTAAAACTCAAGTTATAATAAAAATAGTGAGCGGAGATTAAGTTGTTAGATTTAAGCTAAAATGCTACGATTTTTTATTTTTAAAAATAGTAGATGGAAAAATTAACTCTTGAGGTCAACATCAAAGTTGTAGATAATTGTCCTAGATTTTTTTAAAAAAATAATATTAACTTGATAGCATGTATATAGTTCTAGATATCGAGTAAGAACCACACGAGGTCATAGAAGATTTAATTATGGAAATGTAGTTTGTGAATGGTGATGATAAATGACTTTATCCTTTAAATGTTTGATTTTGTGAATGGTTTGAGGTACATTACCAATGTTTAGGAAAGAGAAATCATGAGGGAGAATAATTGTGAATAAGTTATAAT